AAGATCGACTCATCCGTCCATCCTTCCGAGGTGGGTGAAATGAGGACCCGGACTGTGGGGGGCAATTTGCTGACTCAATTTGCTAAAAAAATCTGTAAACCGCTTAGAGAGGGCTGAAAGCCCTATGAAGCGGTATATAAGCCTAATAAATAAATAAATAAATAAATAAATAAATAAATAAATAAATAAATAAATAAATAAATAAATAAATAATAAATAAATAAATAAATAAATAAATAAATAAATAAATAAATAAATATAACATCCATTTATATCAATGTGGAACTCAGTTTTTTTTAAACTGTTGCCAAATCTTAAGAGTAAGGAGTTATATTGCTTCATTATCTCATTCTACATGCTAAAGACATTGCAAAGACAGGTAACAGTTTTCCTTCTTAAATTCTCTAATGAATCGATTTCCCTTAAAATCCTTAAGAGTTACAAATGTATTTGTCAAATTTACACAGCTGTCCGGCCATCTCACACAATGACTCTTGGAGGCATGCAATGAAAACCAATAATAAAACATTTCCTAATACCAATTTAAAACAATGAAACATTTAAAAAAAAAAAGATTGCAAGAGGGAAATATGTCAATAAGTTAACATATGATGCCACCAGCACCTTGTTACCAGGGGATTTCCAGTCCCATTGAAAGAATCACATTTTAAGGGATTTCCAGGGGTGTCAAGGATTGGAGCTACTCTTAACTTTAGGGTAGTTCATTATTTTTTTAGGGGGGGGGGGAGTACTAACTGCTCTGAAGGAGGTAGCTGTGCACACTCCCTTCTTAACAGACTCTCAATGGTTCCAATCATGTTGTACAACTTTTATCCAATATCCAATATTTTTAGGGAAGTTTGTTGAGAGTATGGTTGGCACTCGGTTACAATATGCAGGCTGAAGGTTGAGGTACAGTACTGAGATGGCATTGGTTGCTCTTGTTGTTGAGTTCTGAAGAGCTCTTCATGGGGGTGGGGGTGAAACCATCCTCCTCCTTCTGGATATCTGAGTGGCTTTTGATAGCAACAGCCATGATATCCTTCTGGATCAGGTTCGGGTTTAGGAATGGGAGGCAGTGTTTTCCAACAGGTTCCCTTTTTTTGTGGATGGTTTCAATTGGACGCTTTTGGGGAGCAGAGATCAGACTCTAGGCTTCTGAAGTGAGGAATCCTTCAATGCTTGAGCAGCTCTCTCCTTCCCTCTTTATTACTTAGTTGAAACTCCAGCTCATTTGCCAACCCAGGCTCTGGCATCATCAGTGCCATCCCATCACTGAGATGGTGGTGCTGATGTGGTGCAGCCTGAGCACTTGGAGGCTGCATGGATTGCCAGGAACCAACTTTGAATCAACCCTAGCAAAATGGAGTTGCTTTGTGCCTTTTACCGCCAAGCACTAGTGATAATCCATCTATATCTCTCAGTGGAGTAGCATTCCCTTGAAGGGAGGTGGTGCACAATTTGGGGGCCCTCTAGACACACAGCTACAGTTCAATGAGCAGGCGGTAGTCATGCCTAGAGACCTTTTCACACATTTGTGCACCAAATGTGTTGTTTCCTGGATCTATGGGGCTTTGCTCATATCTTGGTTACTTCCTGTTAGGATTTCTGCAGTGTGCTCTGCATGGGATTCCTCTTGAAGACCATCCAGTATATACAGAATGCAATGGCATGCACTGTGGTGGCTTCCCCTGTGTTCTTCCACAGGGAACCCTATTTGCAAAGGATTCTAGTTTCATTCCAAATGCAATTAAATTCACCTTTAAAGCCCTACCCTACATGGGATCACAGTATCTGTGGGACTACATGTCCTTGAGTTTATCTGCTTGTCCCAACAGAACAGATACAATCAGGTGTAGGTTCTGGCTAGCGTTATTGCTGGCTTTCTCTCGCACTTGCATTGCACATGCGCACATGTGCATGCGCAGTTTAATTACAATTGTTCTGCGCATGCACAGAATTCAAAAACAAGATGGTGGTGGAGACTGGGGAATACGTTCAGAGGCTTGGCAGGCCTGAGTCGCTGCCGGTTCCAGCGACCCAGGCCGCCATATCACTACCAGTTCAGCTGAACCAGGCCAAACCGGTAGGAACCCATCTCTGGATACAATAGACTTACTTGAGGTCTGTTCCCTACAATATTGCCAATTTGTGGGATCTCGGAAGTCTGCCTTTCTGATTAGAGCTCCTGCCCTTTTGAAAATTCTCCCCCTTGAAATCCAATGAACCTTATCATCCTAATTTTCTGGACTTCTGGTTCTTTTCCCAGCAATTGGGATAAGATGAGAAAGATAGTATGAGAATTATTGGGTTACCTTAAGGGTGATTATAGTGCTAGATTTTTCTTTCTTAGATTTTCTTTTGTTGTTTTTATTGCTTTATATATTGGGGAATTATTTGCTGGGTTCTAAGCTGCAAAAGGGAATATTTATAAAAGCCATAAAAGATGCATTACTTTCTGTTTTCTCAGATGCTGAAAAGTGCACCAAGTGCCCAGATGATCAATACCCAACCAAGAACCGAGTCCGATGTATCCCCAAAAGAATAATCTTCCTGTCCTATGAGGAACATCTGAGCATTATCCTGCTCTTCTTTGCCCTACTCTTGTTCTTAACCACTGGCTTTGTTTTAATCATATTCCTTAAGTACTTAGACACTCCCATTGTCAAAGCCAACAACCGAGACCTCTCCTACACCCTTCTGGTCTCTCTCCTGCTTTGCTTTTCATCCTCATCTTTCTTTATTGGAAAACCAAGAAAAGTCATTTGTCTTCTCCGACAAATAGTGTTCAGCATTGTCTTCTCAGTAGCTGTGTCTTCTGTGTTGGCCAAAACAATCACAGTAATGCTGGCCTTCCTGGCTGCAAAGCCAGGGAACAAGGTGAGAAGATGGTTGGGGAAGAGCTTGGCCAACTCCATCATCTTTTCTTGTTCTGGTGTCCAAATTTTTATCTGTGCCTTGTGGCTGGGAGTTTCTCCCCCATTCCCTGACTCTGACCTCCACTCTCAACCAGGAGAAATCATTCTTCAATGCAATGAAGGCTCTGTCACCATGTTTTATATTGTCCTTGGCTACATGGGATTTCTAGCTACTATTTCCTTCATAGTGGCTTTCTTGGCCAGGAACCTGCCTGGAGCCTTCAATGAAGCCAAGCTGATTACCTTCAGCATGCTGGTCTTCTGCAGTGTCTGGATCTCCTTCCTGCCCACCTACCTGAGCACCAAAGGAAAGTCTATGGTGGCCGTGCAGGTCTTCTCCATCTTGACCTCTGGTGCTGGGCTGCTGAGCTGCATCTTCTTTCCTAAGTGTTACATTATCATCTTTAGACCAGATCTAAACACTAAGGAACATCTAATGATAAAAGTAGGGAAATCAAATTGTCCTTAAACTTATAATATTTAATTATTGTCATTATTACCAGTTTAACTGCTTCGTTTGTATGTGTTTGATCATTTAGGTCATTTAAACTTGAAGGAAAGAAGATGATGAGATGTTAGACTAATCAAATTAAAATCTAAGATAATCATCAAGCAACAAAATAAATAAATTAATAATTAATAGTTGTGTTTTTCTAACTGTTGTTAGTCCTTTCCCTCAACACACAAGTTAGCCAATATTTGGCTTATGCTTCAAGAGAAGCATATATGGGCTACTTCGGGACTTTGGAGTGCTGTATGCTTGGCAGGTATTTTTAAAGTTAATTAGAAAGGTCTCAACCTTATGTCTTACATTGTTGTTTCGGAATTGGTATTTTCATTCTCCTGAGGTCTGGGTTGCACTGGTAGTAGAAGAGTTATTGAAGATGATATGGAGTTGTTGCTCCTTCTTGTTCTCCTGAGGTATTCTTTCTCAGCAATCTCCATTTAGTTGAACTCCAGATCAAGTTCCATCCAATTTGTGCCTTCCTCTCTCTTAGACTCCACTTCTGGCTTCTTTGGCTTGAGGTGCTGAAAAGACTTTCTGGTGTCTGGTGAGGAATCTCCTGCAGCAGAAGGCCTATGACTTCCTCACAGGATTGGCACGTTGTTACTGTGTGCCACTTCTCACCTGACTGTATGCTGTAGCTCTGCTTATGCTATTCATTGTTCCTAGTTTCTGGATAAAAATGTCAAAAGCCTCTGATTCATGGGTAACCTCTTCTGATTGTCAGGAGAAATATATATTTTTAAAGGGGGGGGGAAAGTCCTTGAATCCTGGTGCCCTCTAGTGTACAATATCCCACTTCTGCTACCCCACAATAAGGGAAAGAGTGCCCTTGAGGTTGAACCTGTTTTTCTTCTGAGGTCCTTCAGTTCTGAAGTTACCAGCCAGTGGAGGAACAAGCAGTGGCCAATTTGGTCACCCTGCCACTACCCCCTCCCTTTGTTTCACCCTTCCTCACCAGTCTTCTGGATAACCAGGAAAGGATTGGAGGGAAAATCATCACTCACCTTACACATCTGTACAAGGTGTATATATTAATGTGCTTGTCCAGATAAGAAACATAATCTTTCAACATTCTACCCAGATTAAGTAGGAACACAGGGATTCCCAACTGCAATGTCAAAGCGGTCTTTTAGGCAGGAGAAGAAACAATGGATGGAAGCCAATCAAGGAGAGAAACAACCTGGAATTGACGAGAAACTACTTAACAGTGAGGACAACTAATCAAAGGAATACCTTTGCCTTCAGATGTTGTGGGTGCTCCACCACTGGAGCTTTTAGGAAGAGAC